TTTTTTTTTTTTTTTTCACTTTTATAAATAAAGGCAGCTTTGAAGTATATTCCCAAACTCTCAAACATGTTTTGGTAAATATGCAAAGAAAGCTTACAATGCTAAAGGCCTCCATCTATTTCTTCAGTTCAGCTAATAGTTCATCACTGAGATTATCATTCTGGAAAGCTGTCAAACAAAAATACACCGAAAACCTAACATGCTGCCCTTGGACTTTGGATTAGAACTTAGTTCTAGTTAAAACTATTTTAATGTGAGGTTCTGATTTAGTGAAATAATACCTGCTTCCTGATGCTTTTTTGGTGATAGTTTCATTCATTTCTGTTAAAAAAAATACCTATGTGGGTTCTTAAGGCACTCTCCATTTGTAGTTCTAGCTCTGTTTTTTCTCCCTAAACCTATTTCTCTGCTGGGACTAACTAGGCTCAGTGAGGAGGGCCATGGTAAGGTTAGGTGGAGATGAGAGACAGGACAGTGAAGGTCTTTACAGCTCCAGCAGACAGCTTCAGCACGAGCCCTGGTGGCACGGTGGTTAAGTGCACACAGCTGCTAGCAGAGGGGTTGTTGGCTGAACCCACCAGCTTCTCTACAGGAGAAAGACGTGATACAAAGACCTACAGCAAGTGTGTTAGACTGGGTTCTCTAGAGAAACAGAAACCAGCAAAGCTTATATACATATATATATATTTAGAGAGAGAGAGAGAGAGAAATTTATCCGAGGAAAATGGCTCACAAACGTATAGAAGCCGGCAAGTCCAAAGTCCCTGGAGGAAACGGGCTGCTGGCAGCCTTAGCTTCTGCAATCGCAGGGGGCCGAGAAATTCAAGGCTGGCAGGCAGTACACTGGTTGTTGACTCCAACGAAAGACGAATCCAAGATCTCCAGGCCGAGTGTGGGCTGCTCACTCACAGAAGGCTGTAGTCAGCACACCAGGGTCCCGATCCACAAAAGAATGTCTCTCTTTCCAAGATGTCCCTGGATATCCTGGAAGCAGGCCACACCGCTAGGGAAACTCCCCTTGGGCAAACTGGCCATTCAGAACAGTCATCTGATCCCATCATGGGAAAAACCACACAGAACTGGGGTCCAGCCAAGTTGACACACAGTCCAGCTATCACAAAGACCTACAGCCCTGAAGCCCTATAGGGTCACTATGAGTCGAAATTATCTCAAAAGCAAGGGGTTTGAGTTTTTTTTTTTTTTTTATACTGCATACGAGATGTCGAGCAGTGACTGGAGTTCAGACGTTTGCTGTTATGATGTGCCGTCGTCTCTGACCCACAATGACCCTATGTACAACATAAAAAAAAAAATCACCCAGTCCTGCACCAGCTCCATGATCCTTGCTATAATTCAGCCCACCACCACAGCCACCGTGTCAATCCATCTCACTGAGGGCCTTCCCCTCTTTCCTTGACCCTCCACCTTACCAAGCATGACTTCCTTCTCCAGGGAATGGTCCCTCTGACAACATGACCAAAGTAGGTGAGACAACTTCTGGCCATTCTCACTTCCAGGAAGCATTCTGGCTGCACTTCTTCCAGGACAGATTTCTTAGTTCTTTTAGCAGTCCAGGGTGCTTTCGGCATTCTTTGCCAACACCGCAACTCAGAAGCATCAATTCTTCTTTGGTCTTCCTTATTCGCTGTCCAGCTCTCACACGCATATGAGGCAACTGAAAACAGCATAGCTTGGGTTAGGCACATCTTAGTCTTTGAGGAGGTATTTTTCATCTGCAGCACTTGAAAGAGGTCTTTTGCAACAGATTTCTCCAATGCAATACATCTTTTGATGTCTCGACTGCGGCTTCCATTGGCGTTGATTGTAGAACCAAGTGATACGAAGCCTTTGATAGCTTCAATCTTTTCACCATTCACCATGATGCCGCTTATTGGTCCAGTTGTGAGGATTTTTGTTTTCTTTATATTGAGGTGTAATCCATACTACAGACCCTAGTCTTTATCAGTAAGTGCTGCAAGTCTTCCTCACTTTCAGCAAGCAAAGTTGTGTCATTTGCATATCTCAGGTTGTTAATAATCCTTCTACCAATCTTGATGCCACATTCTTCTTCATATAGTCCATTTTCTCAGATTATTTGCTCAGCATACAGATTGAATAAGTATGGTGAAAGGACCCAGCCCTGACACACTCCCTTCCTGATTTTAAACCATGCGGTAACCCCTTGTTCTGTTGGAATGACAGACTTCTGGTCTATGTATAGGTTCCTCATGAGTACAATTAAGTATTCTGGAATTCCTATTCTTCTCAATGTTAGCCACAATTTGTTATGATCCACATAATCAAATGCCTTTGCATAGTCAATAAAACACAGTAAACATCTTTCTGGTATTCTTTGCTTTGAGCTAAGACCCATCTGACAGCAGCTATGATATCCCTTGCTCCACGTTCCCTTCTGAATCCAGCTTGCATTTCTGGAAGTTCTCTGTCAATATACTGCTGCAACCATTTTTGAATTATCTTCAGTAAGATTTTACTTGCATGTGATATCAATGATATTATTCAATAATTGCCACATTCTGTGGGATGACCTTTCTTGGGAATGGGTATAAATAGGGATCTCTTCCAGTCAGTTGGCCAGGTAGCTGTCTTCCAAATCTCTTGGCATAGCCAAGTGAGTGCCTCCAGCGTAGCATCCGTTTGATGAAATATCTCAATGGGTATTCCGTCAATTCCCAGAGCCTTGTTTTTCACCAATTCCTTCAGGGCAGCTTTGACTTCTTCCTTCAATACCACTGGTTCTTGATTACATGCCACTTCCTGAAATGGATGATCATCTACCAATTCTTTCTGATATAGTGACTCTGTGTATTCCGTCCATCTTCTTTTGATGTTTCCTGCATCATTCAACATATTGCCCATGGAATCTTTCAATACTGCAATTTGAGGCTTAAATTTTTTTCCTCAGTTCTTTCAGATTGAGAAATGCCAAATGTGTTCTTCCCTTTTGGTTTTTTAACTCCAAGTCTCTGCACATTTCATCATAATAATTGACTCTGTCTTCTTGAGCTGCTCTTTGAAATCTTCTGTTCAGCTCTTTTATCCTGTTGTTCTTCCATCTGCTTTAGCTACTCTTCATTCAAGGGCAAGTTTCAGAGTCTCTTCTGACATCCATTTTGGTCTTTTCTTCCTTTTCTGTCTTTTCAATGACCTCTTGCTTTCTTCACAGATGATGTTCTTGATGTCATCCCACAATTCCTCTGGTTTTTGGTTACTGTGTTCAATGCATTGAATCTATTTTTTAGATGATCTCTAAATTCAGAAGGGATATAAGCAGGGTCATATTCTGGCTCTTGTGGACTTGTTTTAATTGTCTTCAGCTTCAACTTGAACTTGCATATAAGCAACTGATGGTGTGTTCCACAATCAGCTCCTGGCCTTGTTTTGGATGAAGATACTGAGCTTCTCTACTGCCTCTTGCCACAGATGTAGTCAATCTGATTCCTGTGTATTCTGTCTGGCAAAGTTCATGTGTATAGCCACCATTTGTGTTGCTGAAAAAAGGTATTTGCAATGAGTAAGTCGTTGGTCTTGCAAAATTCTATCATGCAACCTCCAGCATCATTTCTATCACCAAGGCCACATCTTCCAACTACCAGTGATTCTTCTTTGTTTCCAACTTTTGCATTCCAACCACCAGTGATAATGAACACATCTGGATTGCATGTTTGGTCAATTTCAGACTGCAGAAGTTGGTAAATATCTTCCATTTCCTTGTCTTTTGCTTTGGTGATTGGTGCGTAAATTTGAATAACAGTAGTATTAACAGGTCTTCCTCATAGATGTATGGATATTATTCTCTCACTGACAGCATTGTACTTCAGGACAGATCTTGAAACATTCTTTGTGATGATGAATACCACACCATTCCTCTTCAATCTGTCATTCCTGGCATAGTAGATAATATGATCATCTGACTCAAAATGGCCAAAACCAGTCCATTTCAGCTCACTAATGCTGATACTGATCTTTATGTGTTCCATTTCATTTTTGACAACTTCCAATTTTCCTAGATTCATACTTTGTACATTCCATGTTCTCATTATTAATGGATGTTTGCAGCTGTTTCTTCTCATCTTGAGACGTACCACATCAGCAAATGGGGATCCCGAAAGCTTTACTCCATCCACATCATTAAGGTCGGCTCTACTCTGAGGAGGCAGCTCTTCTCCAGTCATATTTTGAATGCCTTCTGACCTGAAGGGCTCATCTTCCGGCACTGTATCGGACAATGGTTCCAGGCTATTCCTAAGGTTTTCACTGGCCAATTCTTTTGAGAAATGGATGGTCTCTTCCTTCTTCTGAGTCTGTCTTAGTCTGGAGGCTCTGCTGAAACCTGTCCACCAGGGGTAACCCTGATGGCATTTGAAACACCAGTGGCATAGCCTCCAGCCTCACAGCAACACTCAAGCCACCATATTAGGACAAACTGACAGATAAATTTTTCCCCTCTAGCAGTTCTAAACTGCTGTGCTCATTTCCTGGTCTTCTCTGCCCTGCTTGCTTACTTGGCCTGCCCCCAAGGCGCTCTACACACGCAAACACCCACCTTCGCTGGTCTTGGGGTTGGCTTACTGTGGCCTACACCTGGGGGTGGCTCCATGCCCGCAAACCTTTTTTTGTTTGTTTGTTTAGAAAGCTTAAGTATAGGCACAAAAGCATCCATTCTAGCAGATGCCACACCTTATCAATCAATTTGAAATAAAACAAAACAAAACACAATTCACAATTCTCCTAGGAAGAAACTGTTATTCCTTACAAATGTGGGATTCAATAAGGCACTTGGGTTATTTAACTCCCAAATAAACTATCCTCCTTTGGGCACTCTATAGAAAGCCTTCCATTAGAAAATAATTAAAATTTAATGCAGCAATTTTACACTGTTAGCTTAATTAAAAAAAAGATTTTACCTGCAATTAACTTTACCAAGAGGTTATTAGTTTGTCTCTTCAGCAATGACACCTCATTTTCTCTTTCACTACAGGAAGACTAAGAAACCTTACAAGATAAAGTATTAACTTCATGCAAATGTCAGGAATGAACAATCTCGACATTCATAACTTTCATTTTGTACATGTTGCCATGCTTTATAAAAACTGTTACATTTAATAAGAAAATAAATTTTCTTAAATAACTTAGATGTGACACTTAGATTTTTCCTAAGTCAGTCCAGTATTTCAACTTATTTTCATTATGTTTTGTTTCTGGTGCAATCATGTAGAACTGCGTCCTATCAATGTGTGTGTATAATACTAAGTAAGTTGTGTTGTACTTATTCAAAAGATGCAATTTTATAGTGTGTTCAGTATAACAAAAGTAACAATACAAACTGGAAAAGAAACGAGTTGTAATTCCTAAAGCATCTGATGCTAACCAGAAGGTTGGTGGTTCAAACCCACCAGCCACTCCTTGGAAGGAAGTTTGGTCAATCTACTTCTATAGAGATACTGCCTTGGAAACCCAAGGAGGGGTTGCTACGAGTCGGATCCAACTTGACAGCAGGGAGTTTAAATTCCTTTGTTACTAACATCTACTAGACACATTTACATAATCAGGGTATTAAGTAAATTGTTTTGAAAGCATGAATGTGTTTCTGGATGCCAGTTGGACAATGCTGAATGATCGTGATAACCATTTAAGTTTCAGGGTTCACATCCCTAAATGGATGAAGCTAAATAGACGTCTTAAACTGTTGCATGAAAATGCAGTCTGATTTCTAACTTTGTTCAAAAGGACTGGCAATATCTGAGATTTTAGTTACAGAAATCACGTGCACTTCTACCGAGTTAGAGGTACAGTTGTTAGCACTTTCAATCTGGACAGTGGGGATTTAAAAATCACCAAGCAGGAGAAAAGTGCCGGGATCTTTTTTATGGATACAAAACAAAATCAGATGTCTTTTTGTCTATTAAATTGGTAAAGAGGAAAAAAAAATCCTAGTGGTTGTGGTAGAGTAGGCCCTTAGACTGGTGGTGTGATCTAAAATGCTGTATGTAACATTTTTGGATTGTGACTTGTAAATATAAAAACATATAAACACACACACACACACACATTTTAACATGGAGTTTTTCTTTATAACATTTATAACTCTTGATCCAACTGGGAATCTATAGCAAGAGTGTAACGTGAAATACACAAATGTTTTAAACCCAAAGCTATCCTCTAGAATTTAATTTTCAACTGTAGAAAAATGTCCAAATATATGATATACCTGTGATAGTTGGAGCTGTGTGTCAACTTGGCTGGACCACATTTCTGTGTGGTTTAAGCAATTGTGATGTGGGTTGTTCCAATGATGTGATCAGGTATTTATGTTTCGAGCAGCCAATTGATTAAAAGGGAGTTTCCCTAGGGGTGTGGCCTGCTTCCAGTATATTTATGGACATCCTGGGAAAAGAGACACTCTTCTGTGGATCGGGATTCTGCCTACAACTGTCTGTGAGCGAACAATGCACCATTTGGCCTGGCGATCTTGGATTTGTCATTTGCTGGAGTCAACAGCCAGTATACTGCCTGCCAACCTTGAGCTCCTCAGCCCCTACAGCTGGGTAAGTTGGGAAAAGCCTCCAGCTTGACATTTGATCCAAGAACTTGGGACTTGCCAGCTTCTACAAGTGTGTGAGCCATTTTCCTAAGATGAATTTCTCTTTTTCTCTCTCTCTATAAGCTTTATTGGGTTTATTTCTCTAGAGAACCCATCTAACACATTTGGTACTGAATGGGGTGCTGCTCTGACAGATATCTAAAATGTGGAAAGAGGAGTGGAGTATGTCCTTGACTCAAGGCCCCAGAAGAGAGATCCTGGCATATGGCATGAGAGATGGCAGGAGCAGAGCAAGAGACCGGCATGAGAGACGGCAGGAGCAGAGCCCAGAGACTGGCATGAGAGGTGGCAGTAGCAGAGCCGAGAGAACTGGCATGAGACAGCTACAGCCTTACCAGCCCACGGAGGAGAAAGCTCAATGCTTTTGGTTAGGCGGCTTACTGGAAAAGTGAGTTGTGTTTGGGCATTAATTGGTAGAAAAGACCAGCATGAAATGCAGTAGCAGGTTGGCCAGCCCATGGAGCAAGAAAGCTGAATGTTTTGGGTCAGGAAGATTTCCAGCGGAGTGGGTTGCATTTGGCATTAATCGGCAGAAATGGAGAGACCAAGAAAATGGAAGCAGAGCTGCCTCAGCCTGAAGGGGTAGGACCATGGCCTTTGGGGGTGGAACAACCACAGCCTCCTAGGTTTCAAATAGCCAGGCCTTTACCAACTTGGTTCTGGAGTGTGGGGCTGCTTGTTCATGTGAGTCAATGGGATGGAGCCATAGCTGCTGCCCAAAAGTGAGGGGGCAGGTGTGCCATTCCCAAGAGGGAGAGGAATGGGGCCTGCCAGGCCAAGAGGTCACCCCTTAGGGGAACTAGGGGATTGGAGCCACCCAGTGAGAGAGACCTGTACGGATACCACCCATTAAAGATCTGTACAGGTGCCAAGTTGACAGGGGGTGGAATTGTGGTGGTTATGTTTTTGTGTCAACTTGGCTAGGCCTGGTTGAGTGGCTGGGCAGCTGGATGTAGTATTCCCCATGATAAGAGTGGTAATCAACTCCATGGTGGAATCTACTGTGAGCAGCTGAGTAGCTGCCTTTGGGTATATGGTCTGCTTCCCCTATATAAGCAGCAGCTTTGGGAATGGTCTCTAGTTATGGCATGCTTGGATCCTGCATGTAGTTGTGTCATTGTTCAGCAGCCTGCTATGTTCTGCCAACCTTGGGACTTAAATGAACTTGAATTAATGGCCTGCTGTGTGGTTTGGTAACATTGGGACTGTGCCTTTTCACTCGTCAACTTTGGGCTTCTCAGCCTCAGCAGGTAGCAGCTGTCTGAGTGAAGACATGCCTCTAGCTCCAGTGGGCTGGGAGCAGGAGGCCGAGCTGGACCCCAAAGTTGAGGGGCTTTCACCCAGCCCCTAGACTTTGAACTTGGACCTAAAGACTCCAAACTGTAAGAGAATAAACTCCTGTTTGTTAAGACCATCCCATTTGTGGTATATTTTTGTCAGAGCAGCACTGAGTAACCAGAACAATAACCACTGTTTATGACAAATTTCTAGTAATCTATAAAAATGTATAATGATAAAGAGGAATCACTGGTAGAAAATCAAAGATTATTTTTGTCTTATCGAGTTTTTAATTTTCAAATTTCTACAATAAACATGCTATTAAATACGATATAAAAATATGTATACAACATTAATGATTTTATTCAAACACAGTCAAGGAATCAGGCAAAATGGCAATATCTCCATTTCTAGGTAGCAAGATTATGAGTGTGATTCTCTTTCCTTTTTAATATTCCACCGTACTTTTCAATCCTTATGAGCTATATATAGTATTGCTGTGATTAGAAAAAATTACAACTTTCTAGTAAGTAAAACACAGTGAATACTTACTTGGCAGCTTGGACGACTGTATCAGAAAGGTTTCCCTGAGCAATTGTTTTTACTTGGTTATAGGCAGCTTTGATAACCTAGGGTAGACAAGTAAAGGCTGGTCACTTTTGGTCAGTGCCAGTCTCCTTCAGCAACCAACTGTTCCTCTACCGAGGCAAGAACATAAGACGGAAAGTCAGTTCCACAGAAATAGCACAATGCTTGTTTGGAATTCTTACATCACCATGTAATTCATATTCTTTCTGCATTTCATAAAGCAGCTGATTGTACAACTAACTTATAGTAGTCAAGATAATAGCTTTTTCTAAAAGTTAATAAGTAGAAGGCAGAGGACAGCAGTAGGGTTTAGGAAGAGCAGATGCAGTAATTTATAATTATCCATAAAGAACACACACAAAAAAAAAAACAACAAAAAAAAACCTGACTCATGGTGACCCTATAGATGTCAGAATAGAGTTGTATTCCATAGGATTTTCAATGGCTGGTTTTTTTGGAGGTAGATCATCAGACCTTTCTTCCAAGACACCTTTGGATGAACCTGAACCTCCAACCTTTTGATTACTGAGTACATTAACAATTTGCACCAAGCAGAGGCTTACCATATAGAATAAGCATCTCTAAACATTCTTGCCTTCCATGTGGATGAGACATGGGTTCAATTCTTGGTCAGTTCACCTCATGCACAGCCACCACCCATCTATCAGTGGTGGCTTGTGTGTTGCTATGATGCTAAACAGGTTTCAGCAGAGCTTCTACACTAAGACTAGGAAGGAGAACGGAAGGATGTGGCCATCTACTTATAAAAACTGGCCACTGAAAACCTTACAAATAGCAGTGGAACACTGTCTGATGTAGCGCCAGAAGATGAACCCCTCAAGTTGTAAGGCACTCAAGCCATGACTAGGCAAGAGCTGCCTCCTCAAAGTAGAGTCGACCTTAATGATGCTGATGGAGTAAAGTTTTTGGACTTTATTTTGCTATTGCGGCATGACTGAAAAAGAGAAGAAACAGCTGCAAACTGATCCATAAATAACTGGAATATGGAATGTACAAAGTATGAATCTAGGAAAACTGGAAGTTATAAAAAATGAAATGGAACACATAAAGATTGCTATCCTGGGCATTAGTGAGCTGAAATGGACTTGTATTGGCCATTTTGAACAGAACAATCACATGGTCTACTGTGTCGGGAATAATAAATTTAAGAAGAATGGCATCACATTCATTGTCAACAAAGAACATTTTAAATCTATCTGGAAGTACAATGCTGTCAGTGAGAAGATAATATCCATATGTCTACAAAGAAGACCAGTTAATATGACTGTTACTCAAATTTATGTACCAACCACTAAAATCAAAGATGAAGAAATTGAAGATTTTTACCAACTTCTGCAGTCTGAAATTGATCAAACATGTATTGATAATTCCTGGTGACTGGAATGCAAAAGTTGGAAACAAAGAAGGATGGACAGTTGGAAAACAAGGCCTTGGTGATAGAAAGGATGCCAGAGATCACTTGATACAACTGTACAAGACCAACAACTTATTCATGGCAAGTACTTTTTTTTTCTATAACAACATACATGGCAAGTACACATGTGGAACTCACCAGAATACACAGGAATAAAACAGACTACATCTGTGGAAAAAGGTGATGAAGAAGCCCAGTATCATCACTCAGAACAAGGCTTGGGGCTGACTGTGGGACAGACCATCAATTGCTTATATGCATGTTCAACTTAAAGCTGAAAATTAAAACACGTCCATAAGAGCCAAAATACGAACTTGACAATATCCCACCTGAATTTAGAGACCATCTCAAGAATAGATTTGATGAACTGAATACCAATGACTGAAGATGAGTTGAGTTGTAGGATTACATCAAGAACATTATATATGTAGAAAGCAAAAGGGCATTAAAAAGACAGGGAAGTCAGAAGAGACTCTGAACTTGCTCTTGAACTGACAGTAGGTAAATCAAATGGAAGAAATGATGAAATAAAAGAGCTGAACATAAGATTTCAAAGGGTGCCTCAAGAAGTTAAAGTAAAGCATTATAACGAAATGTGCAAAGGCCTGGAGTTAGAAAACCAAAAGGGAAGAACACATTCAACATTTCTCAAGAACTGAAGAAAAAATTCAAGCTTTAAGGTGCCACACCGAAGGATTCTGCAGGCAAAATACTGAACGATGCAGAAAACATCAGAAGATGGAAGGAATACACAGTCACTGTACCAAACAGAATGGGTCGAGTTGAGCCACTTCAGGAGGTAGCATGTGATCAAAAACCGATGGTATTGAAGGAAGAAGTCCAAACTGCACTGAAGGCACTGGTGAAAACAAAGCTCCAAGAATTCATGGAATACCCACTGAGGTACTTCAACAAATAGATGCAACACTAGAAGGACTCGTCTATATCAAGAAATTTGGAAAACACACACTCTGCTGTGTTTTATTGACTATGCAAAGGCATTTAACTGTGTGGTTCATAACAAATTATGGATAACACTGCAAAGAATAGGAATTCATAGTGCTTAAGGCATCTGTCTGCTAACCAGAAGACTGGTGGTTCAAAACCATCAGCTACTCCTCAGAAGGAAGACTGGACAATCTACTTCCATAGAGATACTGCCTTGGAAACCCAAGGAGGGGTCACTGGGAGTCGAATCTGACCTGACGGCAGTGAGTATGGTTTGGTTTTTTTAAATTGTGCTCATAAGGAATCTGTACATAACCCAAGAGGAAGTTGTTTAAATAGAACAAGAGGATGCTGTGTGGTTTTAAATCAGGAAAGGTGTGCATCAGGGTTGTATTCTTTCACCATACTTACTCAATCTGTATGCTGAGCAAATAATCTGGGAAACTGGACTATATGAAGAAGACTGTGGCATCAGGATTGGAGGAAGACTCATTAACAACCTGCAACATGCAGATAACACAACCTTCCTTGCTGAATTTGAAGAAGACTTCAAGCATTCACTGAAGAAGATCAGAGACTGCAGCATTCAGTATGGCTTATACCTCAACATAAAGAAAACAAAAATCCTCACAACTGGACCAATAAGAAACAAGATAAATGGATAAGGTTGAAGTCAAAGATTTTTTTCTTGGATCCATAATCAATGCCCATGGAAGCTGCAGTCAAAAAAATCAATTGACGTACTGCATTGGGCAGATAGCTGCAAAAGACCTCTTTAAAGTGGTAAAAAGCAAAGATGTCTCTTTGAAGACTAAGGTGCACCTAATGCAAGCCATGGTATTTTCAATCACATCATATGCATGTGTGGTATAGTAAATTACATAGTGTGGCTTTTCTGGCCCTAAGTCTTTGTAAACTCTGTGGTGCAATTTGCCATGAGCAACTGAGTAGCTCCTGATTGTTAACGTTATCCACCTGGGGTATTTCTGTTGAAAGTGGCAGGAAGCAATCTTCTGGGAAGTTCTCTCAGGTATATAGAATTCTGATGTTGGGATTGTCGCTTTGGCCACTCTGCCAGGCTCAAAAAGAGCCCTCTTAGAGGCAGAAGGAGTGTCTATGACTACTGGTTGAGAAAGACATACTGCTGAGAGAAACGTGCTCCTGAGAGACATGCACTTGCTGAGAGAGAGACACTAGAGACATGTGCTGAGAGAGATATGTGAGAGACATGCTCTGCAGAGAGAGACACGAGCTGCTGAGAGAGAGACTACAGGCTGCTAAGTGAGACAGCTGGCTGTGAAAGACTGAGTGCATTTCTGAACTTGAATTGTAGCCTGTTGCTTCCCTAATGAACCCCATAATCTGTGAGTTCTGTGTGGCCACTGCAGCAAACTATCGAACCCAGCAGAGAGGTGGTGGATGCTGCAGGAGGAATGGTTTGTGTCAGGGTTGGTGAAAGGGCTGGAGGGAGAAAGCATGCATGGGCTCACAGAAATAGGCCTTGGGCTACCAATGGTGATTCTGTCCTCCTCTTGTGGGGTTAGAAGAGGTCAGAAGATGGGGCCTCCTTGCCCCTTTGGGAGCATGCAAAAGCTAGACAGAGAATAAAGATGACTGAAAAAGAACTTATGTATTTCTATTGTGGTGTGGCAAAGAATACCAAAAATAGGAGTTCTGGAAGCGTAGTGCCTAAAGCACTTGATTGCTAACCAGAAGGCTGGCGGTTCAAACCCACCAGCCACTCCTCAGAAGGAAGATGGGGCAATCTACTTCCGTAGTGATACTGCCTTGGAAACCCAAGGAGGGGTTGCTATGAGTCACATCGACTTGACAGCACATAAAAACAACAACAGCCAGAAGAACAAATAAATCTATCCTGGAAGAAGTGCAGCTGGAATGCCGCTTAGAATTGGGAATGGCCAGAATTTGTCTCACCTACTTTGGCCATGTTGTTAGAAGGGACCAGTCCCTAGAGAAGGATATCATGCCTAGTAAAGTGGAGAGTCAGCAAAAAAGAGGAAGACCCTTACCAGATGGATTGATACAATAGCCAAAGCTATGGACTCAATCACAGCAATGATTGTGAGCATGATACAGGACCAGCCAGTGTTTTGTTCTGTTGCAGATGGGAGTTCCTTTGAGCTGGAACCAATTCGAAAGCACCAACCAAAAATAACATACTTAGGATGTCAGAATCAAGGAGGAATAAAGTTCCAGTGATATGGGTGCTTATGGAATAAATATATTAATAAAGCCCATGGTTTTCTCTATTTTAACCCTGGCGTCATTCTGGGCCTGCTACTCAATGTATAACATGATCACCTAAATTCTAGTCTCTTCATTTCCCCCATTTTATTGACCCATTTCCACAACCACACCCCAGACTTGTACATAACTTAGATTTGCTCTACCTCTGAAATACTGAATTCCAAGAACCCAGTCTTCATCAAGCTCAATTGGCATAACATACTATATAAAACATTGTTCCACCTCCTACTTTGGCAAGTAGAAACTGGGATCTTAAAAGCTAGCAAGCTGCCATCTAGATGCAACGATGGGTGTCTCCTCGTCCAGAGCAAATAAGAATGAAGAAACCTAAATTCATGGAAACAATTAGCCCTAGTGACTGGTACACCATCCGATCTGCAGCCTATATGACTATGAGACCAGAAGAACTAGATGGTACCTGGCTACTACTGTCATCCACTTGGAAGGGGATCTGTGTAGCAGATCTTTGATAGAGGGAAAACAAT